TATATCTACAGTATAAATATGTAATAATATGGTAATAACCAACTGGCAAAAGCCGTGTGCAGGTTTTCCTTGACTCTTATAAAGGGAGCATCATTTTGTATTTGAATTCACCAAGTGGGTTTGCGTGTTTCTAGGTCAGTGAATGATGATCCTGGACAGTTACAGTATGTGTTGTAAATGAACCATAGAGCCCCAGTCTTCTGCCTCAGAGGCTGAGTCAGCCAGAGTTATACTTTATTCAGCACAAGGAGGGTCTGATGGCTCAATTAACAAGAAAGAAGGAGAAAAGTCTAGGTGTGCGTCCCAAATGGCTCCATATTCCCTTTATAGTGCATTAATTTTGACCAGGGCCCTGGTCAAAGGTGGTGCACTATGTAGGGAATAGGGTGCCATTTAGGATACAACCTAGGCTTGTGCCATACCAGAGACATTCCTTATAACTGAACCCACTACACATGATTATATGAAACACCAATGATTTACTAAATGTTTTCTGTTTTTAAGTGAGGAATATAGAATGGTGACTATTTTTAACTTGGAGTTAAAGTGACAACACAATGGGCCTACTGCTATTTAGGCTGGCAAAAGCTTAACCTAATTTCTTTAAAATATGCATGATTACATTAACATCAAATCAGATAAACATTGAAACACAGTACAACAATACAGTAGACCTTAAGGTAGACCTAAATACAAGACTGTAAATGCAGTATTCAACCCTAAGGTAATTCCAAATCTTGTATTCACAGTCTGAACAGTCAGTGATCAGCATTCCTTACAAACAGGGCCCGTACCCAGAAAGTGTCTCAGAGTAAGAGTGCTGATCTAGGATCTGTCCATGTAATCCTATTCATTATTATCTAAAAGGAAAAACTGATCCTAGATCAGCACTCCTACTCTGAGAAGCTTTGTGGATATGGGCCCTGGTATACGCCACAGACTCTAATGAGACGATCAGAGTTCATTGGTATACATCACAGACACTAATGAGACAATCAGAGTTCATTGGTATATGCCAGAGAGACTGTGTTTAGACAGGCAGGCCAAGTCTAATCTTTTTTCCACTAATTGGTCTTTTGACCAATCACATCAAATCTTTTCACATCAGCTCTTTTTCAGAGCTGATCTGATTGGTCAAAAGACCAATTAGTGAGAAAAAATAATCTATATTGGGCTGCCTGTCTAAACGCAGACACTCTCTAATGAGACAATCAGAGTGTTAATTAGTATGATTGGTATATGCCACAGACTGAGGGTTAATTAGTATGATTGGTATACGCCACAGACTGAGGGTTAATTAGTATGATTGGTATACACCACAGACTAAGGGTTAATTAGTATGATTGGTATACACCACAGACTGAGGGTTAATTAGTATGATTGGTATACACCACAGACTAAGGGTTAATTAGTATGATTGGTATACGCCACAGACTGAGGGTTAATTAGTATGATTGGTATAAACCACAGACTAAGGGTTAATTAGTATGATTGGTATACACCACAGACTGAGGGTTAATTAGTATGATTGGTATACACCACAGACTGAGGGTTAATTGGTATGATTGGTATACACCACAGACTGAGGGTTAATTAGTATGATTGGTATACACCACAGACTGAGGGTTAATTGGTATGATTGGTATACGCCACAGACTGAGGGTTAATTAGTATGATTGGTATACGCCACAGACTGAGGGTTAATTAGTATGATTGGTATACACCACAGACTGAGGGTTAATTAGTATGATTGGTATACACCACAGACTGAGGGTTAATTAGTATGATTGGTACACACCACAGACTGAGGGTTAATTAGTATGATTGGTATACACCACAGACTGAGGGTTAATTAGTATGATTGGTATACACCACAGACTGAGGGTTAATTAGTATGATTGGTACACACCACAGACTGAGGGTTAATTAGTATGATTGGTATACGCCACAGACTGAGGGTTAATTAGTATGATTGGTATACACCACAGACTGAGGGTTAATTAGTATGATTGGTATACACCACAGACTGAGGGTTAATTAGTATGATTGGTATACACCACAGACTGAGGGTTAATTAGTATGATTGGTATACACCACAGACTTAGGGTTAATTAGTATGATTGGTATACACCACAGACTCAAATGGTTGATATAAATGCACTATAGAAAGGAGTGATTATTCACCACAGACTCTAATGAAAGACCTGGGAAACCTGTCAGAGTCACACTCAGCAAGACATCAATGGAGAACTACAGTAGGGGATAATTACAGTAGGGGAGAACTACAGTAGGGGAGAACTACAGTAGGGGATAATTACAGTAGGGGATAATTACAGTAGGGGTTAATTACAGTAGGGGAGAACTACAGTAGGGGAGAACTACAGTAGGGGAGAGTAGGAATGAGATTAGAGGCACTCAGGGTTGGGGAGTATCTGATTACCTCTAATCTGATTACAAAAAACCTGTAACTGTAATCAGTTAAATTCCCAGCAAAAATATTGTAATCTGATTACTGATACTTTAGAAAAAATAAATGATTACAGCTTGGATTACTTATATATTCAGAAAGGATGTTTGCGAGAAAAAACAACAACATTATGACACCTTTCAGATTTTCTCAATGACATTAAATTCAGCATTGAAAAAAGGCGCAAATGTAATTCTGTTCCACCTTAGCGAGTCTGACCACAAGTCAGAGACCACTATGATGACACACCAAATGCGTTCAATGGACTATTTTTGTCTTCTTCTAATGCCGCTTAAGGAGAAAGTAATCCAAACATAATTTAAAGTAATCAGATTACATTACTGAATTTGGGTAATCCAAAAGTTACGTAATTGTATTTGTCCGTGAGGCGTAGATAATGCGTCTCCATTGGTCCACTAGTTTTGGAGTGACAGTTCAACCTAACCCAATCAATGAGCAGGATAGACAGAGAGTTGTGGCTTTTTTCTTTCATTGGCCAATTCATAGCATCAGCAATCCAGGGTTTATATACATCATTGGTCCCTCCCAACACCTCCTGCGCCATTAAACTGTCAGGAAAGAGGTACAAGTTCAATATCCCCTTCATGGCAACCCTCTCTAAGCAGTATGCTAATGGGAACGTCCATACCACCACAGTGTCTGGATCGTACCATGGTGTGCAGGTGGAGGACGGGTTTCTACTATCTCTGATGTAGTGATGGGTTAGCATATTTTAACATCGCTTACACACTTTTTATTCTGTTAATAGTGTTTGTGTGTACCTATTACATACCAAATTCACTTTGTTATTGAGTTAACCATCAAAGGCCATATACTGGTACCTGCCAGAATAATGGAAACGCTTGAGTAAATGAGGACGCAAAGTGCAGTGTATTGAAAGCAGGTGCTTCCACATCATGCGGTGTTGCAGCAGCTAATGGGGATCATGTATAAAAATGCTGGGCATGCCATTATTTTGGATGACTATGCCCCAATACACAGGGCATGAGTGGTCACTCACTGAAAACTATATGCTATGGCCGTCTCAGTCACCAAATCTCAACCCCATTGAACACCTATGGGAGATTCTGGAGCAGCGCCTGTGACAGCGTTTTCCACCACCATCAACAAAACACCAAATTATATAATTTATTGTGGAGGAATGGTGTCGCATCCCTCCAATAGAGTTCCAGACACTTGTAGAATCTATCACAAGGTACATTGAAGCTGTTCTGGCTTGTGGTGGCCCAACGCCCTATTAAGACACTATGTTGGTGTGTCCTTTATTTTGGCAGTTACCTGTATATTGCATGTAATTTATATTAATGTTTGTAATTTTTTTTGTTCCTTTAAAGATCAATTGAGGCTCTGGTGTTGTGATATAAAGATGATTATAAACTGGGTGGTTTGAGTCCTGAATGCTGATTGGCTGAAAGCTGTGGTATATCAGACCATATACCACAGGTATGACAAAACATTACTTTTTACTGTTCTAATTACGTTGTTAACCAGTTTATAATAGCAATAAGGCATTTCGGGGGTTTGTGGTATATGGCCAATATACCATGGCTAAGGGCTCTATCCAGGCACTCCGCATTGCGTTGAGCTTAAGAACAGCCCTTAGCCGTGGTATATTGGCCATATACCACACCCCCTCACGCCTTACTGCTTAAATATACTGCACAAATCATGTAAATGAAAAACCTGAAATATTATTACTTACAAAATATTTTTCTAGATTTGTATTATTTATTGACAAATACTTGTGACGTGTAGATGAATTCAAACTCACACCTGTTTAAATTCAAACACAGAAGCAGACAAGGTTTAGGGAGAGACAGACAGTCAGAATAAATACACCTTTATTTGACTCAATATAGACATGATGATACAAACGCCACCACAGAACTATGAAATAACAGACCAATCAGGTTACAGTTCTGAAATAACAGACCAATCAGGTTACAGTTCTGAAATAAGACCAATCAGATTACAGCGAGACAATGGGACTGTACATTCTCCAGGTGCCCCCCCCCCCGCTCATCCCTCCCACCTTACATTAACTATAGGGTTATAAACCACTAGTGCTTCTCCTACCCCATCTATATCTACATCTAAGAGCAGAGTCACAGAGAGTTTGACCCACTTCAGATCGGCCGGACGCCATATTGTCGCCTGCCTCAGCAGACTAACCATCCATTCATCCATCCATCCATAAGGACTTTGGTTAAAGTTCTAATTCTTGGTTTATGATCCTGTCAGTTATGTTAGTTATACTAATGAACTTAGTTTATTGATCCTGTCAGTTATGTTAGTTATACTAATGAACTTAGTTTATTGATCCTGTCAGTTATACTAAAGAACTTGGTTTATGATTCTGTCAACTTGTCTGCCATAGAGTTATGTGACATCATCTCAGAAGATGATGATGCTTTTTGGTTGAAACCTCAACGGCCAAACTCTCTTTACATGGCTGTCTGTAACATTCTCCATCCCTATCTGCACACACACACACACACACACACACACACACACACACACACTCATACACACTATTCCTACAGTATCGCAGTCAACTATATACACAAATCCTTCAATATCTCCTACAGTATCAAGATCAACCCAAACACCTCATCTGGTGAAAGGGGAATAAATCTTTCTTTCTCTTTCCTCCAGCCCATCCTCGTTCTCTCCCTCTCTCTCTCTCCCTCCATCCCCATACCTCTCCATCTCTCTCTCCGTCCTGAGGAAGGTCTTCGTGTCTCCTCTGTTCTGGTCTGTTGGGGTGAGGTCTGGTCTCTTCATGTCTGGTCTGGGGAATGAGGTAGGGGTAATGTGTCTTCATATTTGGTCTGTGGTGGTCTCACTGGAGGGTGAGGAGGGGAGGTCAGGAGAGGTGAGAAGGGGAGGAGGGTGAGGTCTGGTCTCTTCATGTATGGTCTGGGGTTGAGGAGGGGTAAGGTAGGGGAGGTGGTCTGTTCATGTCTGGTCTGTGGTCTGCCTGGGTGGTTAGGAGGGGGGTGGATGGTGAGGTTTGTTCTCTTCACGTCTGGTCTGTGGGGTGAGGAAGAGGGAGGTGGTCTGTTCATGTCTGATCTTCGTTGGTCTCAGTACTGGGGTTAGGGTTGTTAGTGTTGCTGTTGTTGGTCTCATCGTTCTCTCTGCAGCTGATCCTGTCCAACTCCGCCTGGACATCACTCAGACCCAGCTTAGAACCTGCAACACACACACACCACTATTCAGCTCTGCCTGCATTTATATTTGAAACCACAAGAGGGCGACACAGGGCACATACACCCCTTCTGCCTCGAAGACAGCTCTATTTTAACGTTTGTTTTTGTCATTTAGCAGATGCTCTTATCCAGAGCGATTTACAGTTAGTGAGTGCATACATATTTTTTTTCATACTGGCCCCCCGTGGGAATCGAACCCACAACCCTGGCGTTGCAAGCGCCATGCTCTACCAACTGAGCTACACGGGGGTGTCCTACCTGACTTGCGAACAGTCCCTGGTGTGCTGTTGCCGGGTGGCGATGCTCCGGCCTTCTTGGTCAGAAGACTGTTGAAGAAGTTAGCCAGCACCCCCTCACTGGTCTGACCTGCTATATATATACACACACACACACACACACACACACACACACACACACACAGGGAGGGAGGGTTGGAGAATGTCATCCAAAAAGGTGCGACAGTTGGGCAGGGTCTATGGTAAAATACCTAATTGCTTCTCTGCTGTAATGTGTGGCATTACCTACACACACATCATGTAGTACCTGATTGGGGCATGGTGTTAGCTACGTTGGCTGCAGCTGAACGATTACTGGTCCTGGGAGAACCACTGGGACCTCTACTACTGCTGGATTCCTGTTACACACACAAGATCATATCAGTTTCCAGTATCTTAAGAGAGACAGAAAGACAGACAGACATACAGAAAGAGAGAGACAGAGAAGAAAGAGAGAGAGAGAGAAAGAGAAAGAGAAAGAGAGAGAGAGAGAAGAGAAAAGAGAAAAGAGGAAAGAGAAAAGAGAAAGAGAGAAAGAGAAAGAGAAAGAAGAAAGAGACAGAAGAAAGAGAGAGACAGAAGAAAGAGAGAGACTTACCCCTGGTCGCCCGGCAGACGCAGGAGGCTGTTTGGAGAGCAGCGACTGAAACCACAAAGACACACGTTAGAGAGAGAACAACACACACACACACACACGTCACCATGTGTCAAGTCTCACCTGCAACTTGAGCAGAAACACCTGGTCATCTTCAGCCTGAATCTCCTTCTCATGAACAAACTGACATAGGAGAGGATGTACAGAACGAGAGAGGGGGAGAGAGATTCCTATTAATTCATCTATCATTATAGTTTAGAATACAATGGAAAATGTGAGGTTTACTAACAGTCTTTCTGGGAATTAGAGGATAGTGAGGTGCTAGAGGTCGTACCTTTCTGACAGGCGGTTTGACGATGACCTCTTCAAAGTTGTTGTCTGGTTTCAGCGTTTGGAAGTTCTCATGGAGGATAGAAATCTTATTTTCATTGTCCCACCCTGACGGACTGAAAGAAGACAGGGTCACACACGCGCAAACTTACAGAACACAGGGTTACACTCGCACACAAACACACTACACACACACACACTTACATGAAGACGGTGTCTTTCTCCACCAGTTGAGCAGGATAGTGGAAGGGTAAACCGTAGAGTCTGTGAACCAGGTATTTATACAGAACATCCACATTCTTCATCTCCTTAACCGACGTATACAGCAGAGACGCGCCGTCTGACACAGCATTAAGGACAGTATCACTCACTACACTTTCCAGGGAAGGCACAAGGAAACTAACTGCCATGTTGGCTCTACCGCTACAATGCATGCAGATGGATTAGGGGTTGGTAAGATGCTATGGAAAAGTGGTCAGGGTTAAAGTGTGTGCGCACATGCGTGTGAACGTGTTTAACTATACTTGTGGGGACCAGAAGTCCCCACAAGAATAGTAAAGAAACAAAAATGTTGGGGGACATTTTGTTACTCTGACCAGGTCAAATGCTATTTCTAGGGGGTTTAGGGTTAAGGTTAGAATTGGTGTTAGGGTTAGAATTAGGTTTAGGGTTAAGAGCTAGGGTTAAGTTTAGGGTTAGGGTTAGGGGTTAAGGTTAGGTTTAAGGTTAGGGTGTTTTCACATATAGTCCTCTTTAAAAAGAACCAATCTCAGTCCTCTTTAAAGTGAACTCTGGGGTAAAAAAAGCAAAATAACTCAGTTCTCTTTGTATTCACACTGCCCTTGCCATTTTTATTTATTTTACCTTTATTTAACTTGGCAAGTCAGTTAAGAACAAATTATTATTTACAATGACGGCCTACACCGGCCAAACCCGGACGACGCTGGGCCAATTGTGCGCCGTCCTATGGGACTCCCAATCACGGCCGGTTGTAATACAGCCTGGAATCGAACCAGGGGGTCTGTAGTGACACCTCAAGCACTGAGATGCAGTGCCTTAGACCGCTGCGCCACTAGGGAGCCCATTGCATAAGGACTCAAATCTTTTGCCACTTCACTTCACCTATTTTGTGGACCGAGTCCTCTTTGCATTCACATTGCTATTTCTAGAAAGGAACCTAGATCTTTTTCCAACATTCACTCAATGCACTCTGAGTTTTTACAATGTGCAGGACAAACCATTCCATCAGAATGTGTCATCAGACAGCTAGATATACCTACTTACATTTTGGAAGCTCATATATTGCATTTAGTTAAAATATGAGTCATAATAATTGTAATCAGAAGATACTATTAACATGTCAATTTGAGCGGTAACAGAATAAATAGCAATAGAATGAATAATGCTGTAATTGAAAATTGTCCACCCAAGGTAGACTACTGCCCCTTTAAAAGCTAGAATAGCTTTTGTACCCTATGTTGTGATTCTCACCAAATATATTGTCTTTTCACACTATTCAAACCCCACAATCAGTAAACAGCTTATGAAGCTCTCCTAGCCTATAGATCACATATTGCAAACAAATAATCTGAACTAAAAACTTGACACATTTTGGAGTTTGTGCGTCCTTGACAATCGCTAATCAATATCCAAAAATAGAACACATTTTCTTTTGTGAACCTGCACATCATCATCTTCTCTCTTTTGTGGCACCAATGTGCAGAAGTCTAGTGTGTGGTGCGGGAACAATGACAAGCGAACCTGGGGAGCTTTGCGTTCACATTGTCCTAAAAAAGGGAATTAAGCGAACCGCACTAAGTTCACAAAAATCGGCTGAAAGGGCCCAAGTGTGAAAACACCCTTCGGGTTAGAGTTTGGGTTAGGGAAAATAGGATTTTGAATGGGACTGAATTGTGTGTCCCCACAAGGCGCTGAATACAACAGGTGTAGACCTTACCGTGAAATGCTTACTTACAAGCCCTTAACCAACAATGCAGTTTTAAGAAAATAGAGTTAAGAAAATATTTACTAAATAAACTAAAGTGAAAAAAAGTAACACAATAAAATAGCGAGGCTATATACAGGGGATACCAGTACCGAGTCAATGTGCGGGGGTACGGGTTAGTCAAGGTAATATGTACAGGTACATGTAGGTAGGGGTAAAGTGACTATGAATTGACAATAAACAGCGAGTAGCAGCAGTGTAAAAACAAAAAGGGGTGGGGGTCAATGCAAATAGTCTGGGTAGCCATTTGATTAATTGTTCAGCAGTCTTATGGCTTGGAGGTAGAAGCTGTTAAGGAGCCTTTTGGACCTAAACTTGGCGCTCCGGTACCGCTTGCCGTGCTGTAGCAGAGAGAACAGTCTATGACTTGGGCGACTGGAGTCTTTGACAATTTTTTGGGCCTTCCTCTGACACCGCCTAGTATAGAGGTATAGTTATACACAACTGTCTGTGTGTGTAAAGGATACACTGTAGACAGAAGCGTCTGATGTATGATTGGATAAAGTCCAGGTGTTCGTCTTTGTAGTCATGCTCCTTCTCCAACGTACTGATGGCATCGCACTGCAACACACACACACACAGTTTAGAGGTCAGAGGTAATATATGTAGTCATGCTCTTCTCCAGCCAACTGAGGACATCACAGCGAAACAGATAGAATAGGGACAATTCCAATGTGTGTGTGTGTGTGTACCTTAGTGCAGACCACCACCATGGGTAGACCCAGGTTGTGTGTGAGTGTGTTTTCTCCGAGCGGCAGCAGAACGTTCTCCTCCTCCTCACTCCTCCTCTGGGGGCTGCTCTCCTCCCCGCCAGGCTCCACATACTCCTGGAACTGTCTGGCCACTACAGAGACAGACAGTCACAAACCAGGGGTCTCATTTATCATTTATTTATGTGTGTAGGCACAAATCGGAGCGTAAACCATGCGTGGGATTATTTTCACGCAAAGTGTGAGATTTATCAATATGAACGTTTGCTTAGCCATGACCATGCGTATACACAGTGCCAAGTGGTGGAATAAGGGAACTGCTTGTCAAGCATAGAATGGGGAAAATATATAGGGAAAATGTGTGAAATTCTGAGAGCAATAATTAAATACTTTTTCGATGTCATTGTATTTCCATTGTGAATTAATGCAACATATCTTGACATGCTTTATAATTTTGACCACATCAGTGCATTTGTTACAATAATAATCCATACACAGTAATTTGTTAAATTAGAGGTACGTGTGAAAGTTAAACCATTGTTGAAATACTATAAAAAAGACTGAGACAATGGGAAATTGAATGAGAGATGGCTGATTTGCTCTGTTTGAAGATTTGGCACACGCTGCATTTCGCAGAGAGCGGGTTTTTAGAGACAGGTGGGATCTGCAGAAAGAGGACTGAGATCAGCTAAATTAACAGTAACACATACAATTTCCATACATCATCGCACAACAGGTGGAAGTCCAGAGGGATTTCTTCGCCATGATGCCATCAATGGGTTCCCAAATACGAACGGAGCAATAGACGGCCACCACATCGCTATAAAATCACCATCCCAAAATGATTTTAAACTATGTGAACAGAAAAGGCTTCCACTCTTTATGTGCAGGTGATAGGTTATGTGATGCACAAAAGACACTGCTGAATGTGGTGACCAGGTGGAACGCACGATTCGTTCATTCTGCAGAACAGCAATGTTGGCCTATAAGCATACTTGAGGGAGCTGTTGAGGATGGATGGCTTATTATTTGAAGTATATTTGCCATTGCTAAAGCAACTAAATTGTCCTGGATGATTTTGACCATATATGGTTAACTAGGGGCGTTTCGAAATGCAAACAGCCAAGGTTGTGCATGAGCACTGAGGCTGAGAACAATTGTTATTTATCAAATGGTTCTCTCCTACCGGTGTGTATATGACTCTTGTAGGATTCTTTGATAAATCACACTTTTTCTATGCGTACGACCATTCTAAATTCCATTCTTAAGTAGTATTTTAGAATAGTTTCTACACAATATTGATAAATGAGGCCCCAGGTTTCTATCCAACAATTTAATGCGGATGAATTGCCTGACGCATAAAAAAATGTGTTTGTTCGACATGGTGGGATATTTTTGTGTCTGTAAAATTAATAATGCGAGAAATGGTGGTGGAAACGCCTTTATGCGCAAATATTGATATAATAACCATCATATGGAAGTAAACGTGATGATATGGTGTGTGGTCCTCTCACTACGTCTCAGGAAACCATGCAGTTTATTAGGCCACAGATTAAATAAGTTAAGATTAACTTCACAGGGTGATGAGCTTGACGCTGCTTTCCAAAACATTTAGAGGGTCTTATTCTGGTGACATGATGATGGATGCTTGGCTGCCGTTTGACAAAGATGATCCATAATAATCTCATCATGTAGACTAGCCTACCTGCACTGTATCTGAAAGCAGTTGGGTAGAGTGCACGTGCCAAGACCAGGGTGGGCACATTTGCAAAATAACTAGACAGTTTGTGACAAAACCATTGGTAGAGTTGAAAATGCAATGGAAACACATTGAAACTTAGATTTTTATTCAGTACATGAAAACTTAAGCAAAAAAGTACCTTTAATGTGCACTAGATCATTACGCACTGCTTTTCATCCGCAACAAGACAGTTTGTTAGAAACACACCACTGGTGGGGAAATGTGCACATTTTCTTTATGCATAGCTTATTTTTGTGCAGTTGGTTAAAACCCTTTTCACACTGTCACACAGGCTCAGATATCGTCTTTCCACAATGTCCAAATAGTCCTCTGCAGCACAGTTTCAGCAACTTGGCTAGCTAAAAGTCAGCTGAGCAAGCCAATAAAATATCTGGTACCAGTCTGTTCAGGGTTAGATCTAGGGCCTGTTTAGGTTTAGGGTCCTATTTAGGTTTAGAAGTCAGAGGGTAAAACATGAAGTGTGTGTGTGTGTTTGACTCACTTCTGTTCTCCAGCTCCCTCAGTGTTTCCGGGGGGACCCGGAGCTTGTCGATATGTTCCCTAGCGATGGCCGCCCACTTCTGAAGCGATTCCATGGCGACCCAGGGCCGCGACAGGTCCACGGTAACCAATAGCAACGAGTCACCTAGCGCCTCTCGTTGCACGGCAACAGACTGCAGACCTTTATGGTACAGATCCCCATCTAACACCCAGGCATTACACCTGGTTTGGTCTACACACACACACACACACACACATATTATAGACAGAGCCAGAGACCTAATAGTTAGTGCCGAGCGATTAACAAACATTTCGAGGGGGCAGGGGGTTCGGTTATTAAACAACTAAATGACCGACGTTGGTTCAATTACTTGAATTCCATTTAGTTTGTTTTTTTGTAAGCCCAACACGCCGTTTCTCTAGAGAGAAATCAAATCATTCACGAAAAAAGTCAAGAACTACAGTATGGGATGCTGGGCTAAAAAGAGTTGTAGTTTTCATTAAGCAAATATTCTACCTAGTTCAACGCAGAAACGTTGTAATTCAATACAATGACCATAAATTGAATGTTCACTATTTTTGGCTTTGGAATGTCCATTAAAAAGCTCTAAAACCATTTTAATGTGTTTATTTCATAATACATTTAATGATGTTAAAAGTAATACAAACCGAATCCGAAAACCGCGATTTAAAAAAAATAATCTAGCCAAAACCGATCCAACCTCGAAAAGGACTAATCGCTCAGCACTACTAGCAGTAAAAAAACAAAAGAAAAAAAAAGCAATGATGGCGTAAACGGTAAAATGAAAGCTGTGATTGGTTACCGTCAATATCGTCGTCATGGACACTAAAGTAGAGGTACTCCAGGCCACGCCCCTTCAGGAAATCCTCCACACCCTGTAGCTTAGCAACCAGGGTTGTCTTCCCCGACCCCACCTCCCCTACACGCACACCCCGAAAGAGAGAGTCAGACAGTTATTAAACACCTAACAATGTAAAGGATGCAGATGGTACATTACAATATTCTACTATTAGGCCTATCAGTAAATACTGCAGAGTAGGCAGCATTCCTCACTCACTCACGCCATACTGATTAGCCTCTGTAGCAGAGGATTATCCTGGCCGTTGTAACTGCTAGGCGACTGTGGCTGACTGGACTGAGACAATGATTGCTAGACACACAAACACACACGCTACAGAATTCCACATAAAAGCGACATTAGCCTGTCTGATAGCTGGTATCATATTGGTCCATCATTGTAATAGGAGAAGACAGGGTGGGGGAGAGAGGCTCGTCACAGCTAGCGCGCGCGCACGCGCGCACACACACACACACACTAGCCAAGGAGATAGCGAGATACCCACCCATGACCAGCACATTTTTCCCGGACGGTAGTTTAGATCTGGAGTGCGTCGATACTTCGCTCAGAATAGCAGACCTGCGGATAGATGGATAGAGCAGTCCGTTATCTAACTAGCTAGCTAGCTAGATAGATGACTGGCTACATGTACATCTTATAGAATCGTTCCACTAGCTAGTTAACTAGCTTATCATCACCAGTAGCATTAGCCAAGGCTAGCTATCGCTGGCTAGTCAATCTACAAGCCTATGCAGAAATACAGCAAGCTAGCTCACTAACTAAACCACACAATCATCAGACTCAGCATCACCATTCATTCGTAAACCTAGCCAATCTCTACTGCTAGCAATAGGCTAGCCGCTGCTAGCTAGCTGTGTTAGACGGGCTGTCACTCTGAGTCTGAACAATAACAGTCACTCTCCATCTAAAAGCTCGTCCTGGATCTAAACAGACATGTCAGTTGTTCCCACCATAAATCCTGTCCATCTTCGTCTTCAGTGTTTGGTTGTTCGGCTGTGCTGTTTAGTCCACTGTTGTTGGAGGATAATAATGTACTCCTCCCTGACGCCGCCATCTTCACTACTGCCAACCAACAAAGACCCGGATGTAACGCAAAGTGCTGGGCGTGGTCGTCCAGTAGAATACCACAACAAACTAACAAAATTAGCCTAATTAATTAATTAACGAATTAAATAAACAGATCCGTGCTAACTACAGATAAAAACCAGAGTGAAGGACTTCACTTGATTTTATTGATTGGTGTATATTAAGTGATTTTCTCTGCTGATTACTTGTGTTTTGTTAAATTTATTCCAGTGAAAAACACTGTTACATACTTTTCAACATTTCATAGAGTTTCTGTAACTAGATTACTCTTTATTACCAATATAATTAGCCTATTATATTATCAAATCGAAAGATAGGTACTCATTCTGTAACCATCAGTGGCTCTCTGGGGCCCGTTTTATGGAATGTTTCATCCAGGTCAAAATTATCCTGTGTGTTGTTTTATAGTTTTATATAATCCTGGACTATAAAGCTATTTCAGTGGAGATTCACTATTGACTATGCTTTTTAGTCCAGGATTTATTCTGTGTCCGGGAAACTGACCCTTAGTGTCATGTGTCTTCATTTGATGTCATAGAATCATTGTTGTAAAAACATATGATGTGGTATCACATAGATTTCGTTCAGATTTGTCTTGCATCCAAAGTTGCATACAAAAAATGTGGGACCAAATCTGATGGGGATAACATATGATAATCTAACACAACACAGCAGGATTATTTTGATCTGGATTACATGTTGAATGGATGGGCCAGCTCATCACACAGTAAAGTGCAGTCACTTCTATCCACCACTGGGTGTCACCGTTGTACCGTCACAGTCCCGTACCCCCTGCCGGCACTGCGCGACCCTCCTCATCATCATTTTCTGGGAGGAGATAGAGGGAGGGAGAGAGACAGAAGTAGAGACAGATAAAGAGACAGAGAGAAAGAGAGAGAGAGAGAGAGAGAGAGAGAGAGAGAATTTCCTCTTCATCCATGCTGTGAGGACCTTGATGTACTGTATCCCCTGTCTGCGCATGGCTTGAGGTGCAAGGCTCAGTACATACTGCTTAGCTGACGTACGGAGTGAGGGAGACAGAGAGAGAGAGAGAGCAAGAGAGAGAGAGAGAGAGAGAGAGAGAGAGAGAGAAGCGGGATGGGTGCAGAGTGTGTGAAGACGGAGAAGTCACTGTGATTCCGCCCAGCAGTGAAGTTTCCTTCAGCTCACTGCTCTGCCCGTCTCTACCTGGTACCTGAGGTGAGTTACTGACTGGAACACTAATAAGGTATGGATGGTCTGGGCACTGGGCTGTGTGTGTGTGTGGGAGTGTGTGTGTGGACACCCACGTGTGCATACATATACGTGTGTGCATGTTATAACTTGACAAAGGCTTTGGATGTTTGTTTTTTACATGCAACACACCCTGCTCAATAACATAAGACTTGTTATGTTATGGTATGCTGTGTTATGTTATGGGATTGTAGGTTCAGTGTGTGTGTGTGTTTGTGTGGTCATGCGTGCGTGCGTGTCACAGGTGACAGAGAGAGAGAGTTATGTGATAGCTTGCTAAGCCTGTGGAGAGATTACTCAGCATGGACCTTCCTGCCCTAATGATTCATTATTCATTATTATTAATGCCCTTAATGTCATCAGTCACACACACACACACACAGAAACACATACACACGCACACACACACTTTGACCATGTTTCTGAGTCCATCTAAAGGTCAGGGGTCAGGGGTAGTGGATCTCTGAGCAGTGATTGGTTCTGATGCTGCCTAGTAAAGTTGATATTGGACATAGAGATACTCGGATATATAATTATCTGTCCATTTGTTATTCCCTACTCTGATCCTCTCAGCTAAAAATAATCACCCCAGCATCCACACACACTGAGCGCATGAAATATAGAGGAGGAAGGGGAAGAGAGAGGAGGGAGCGATAGTGAGAGAGGGGGGACGAGAGAGGGAGAGCGCATACCGTGAAACAGAACTGGGTCATATTGAGTTTGCTACCAAACTGCGGGCAGTGGCATAAAAGAGAGAGAAAGAGAGGGAGAGAGAGAAAGAGAGAGAGAGAGAGAGATAGAGAGAGAGAGAGAGAGAGAGCACATACTGTATAAAAGTGCAGATTGAAGTTGATGGATTGATCTAGACCACGTGTCAAACTCATTCCATGGAGGGCCGAGTGTCTGCGGGTTTTCGCTCCTCCCTTGTGCTTGATTGATGAATTAAGGTCACTGATTAGTAAGGAACTCCCCTCACCTGGTTGTCTAGGTCTTAATTGAAAGGAAAAACCAAAAACCAGCAGACATTAGGCCCTCCATGGAATGAGTTTGACATCCCTGATCTAAACTATAGAATATGAAATGTAGATGGTATACTTGAATGTTGACTAAACTACACTAGAATGCAAAATAGAATGCAGAATAGAATGTAGAATGGGCCTATTCAAGCTGATGTTGGTAAAAAAACTGAAACACAGCGCGGTGTGTGTGTTTGTGTGTGTGTGTGTGTGTTTGTGTGTGCGAGTCCTGACCTTGAACATAAGAACTGCTTACTGCCTACTCAGTTCCACAGCATCTTCTCATGTTGTAACAGAGGGGTTTGTTTAGGATTGTGTGTTCTCCCTAAAATGTGTGTGTATTGTGTTTTCTCACTTAAGTGTGTCTGCAGGTCCTGTGTGTGTCCAGCATGAGTAACATCTATGAGTCTGCAGAGGCGACCCTCGGCCTGTGCAACTCTTCCTGTCTGACCAAGGTAGCTCATAAACACTTGATTGATTGATTAACAAATTGATTCATTGACAAATTGATCAAATGATTGATTTATTGATGACAGGTTGAGCTGAGAGTGGCTTGTCGAGGGATCTCAGACCGAGATGCCCTTTCTAAACCAGACCCCTGTGTTGTCCTCAAGATGCAGTCACATGGGCAGTGGTTCGAGGTACTGTCTCTCCCTCCATCTCTCTCTCGCTCTCTCTCTCCCCCGTTTCTCTCCCTTTCTGTCTCTTCGTGCCTGACTCGACAAGAAAATAAAAGCTGACTTTTGCTTTTGCCACAGTACACACGCGCGCGGCGCACACACACACAACACACATCTTATCTAAAGATCTCTCTCTCTCTAGAGAGCTCCTCTCCTAAAGAATAGCTCGAGCTCGATATTAGATTCTCTCTCTTCGAGATGCTCTCTATCTAGCTCTCTCTCTCTTCTCTCTGCATCTCTCCTCTCTCTGCTCTCATCGCTCTCTCTCTCTCTCTGTCTCTCTCGTTCTCTCTCTTTCTCTCTCACTTTCTCTCTCTCTCACTCTTTCAACCCGCACCGACAGAAGTAGTTTCTTTCCTCTGAGAGTCTAAAGCCTCTTAGTAAAGACCAGAAGACCAGAACCAAACTCTTTGAGTGGTTCATCAGGAGAATGCAGTTAGATGTCTCTAAATCCTAAACAATCTGCTCCCCTTATGTGGCTGGAATTTTAAAGAAACAAAGGAGAGGTCTATTTTGGTTTGGTTGGAATTTGTTCCCTATTATTAACAATTCTAAAGTTTGATTGGCAAAGTCAATATGGCTGAACAGGCTGACAAAGAGAATTCATAGCTCCAGGCTTTTAGTCTTCTTACTAACTGTTAGGCCTTACTGGTGGATGTGTCTCCAGAGATTCTCCCAGTGGGGACCTGAAACGATTGCTGTCCACTGCCATGTGCTGAGCTTGAGAATGATGATGTCGCTGTCCGC